CCCCCGCGCGGAGCCGGGGATATAAAGCATAGCTCGTTTGCAATCGTCCAGAAACAAGAGAAGACTGCCGGCGGAGCGGCCGCGCCGGCCCGGCCAGGAAGAGAAGAGCGGCCGAGAGGAGAGCTTTACGACCACGGCAGTCATGTCCGCAGCCAGCGCAGACACAGCGCAGCGCCGCGCCGCGCCGGCCGCGATTTTGCGTTATTGCAAGTCCCGCCCAACCTTCACTTGAGTTCTCAAAACGACGAGTCCGAACATCGGTTTATGTCATGAGGAAACAAGCGGGGTTTACTTACACTTACCGGCCGGGGACATCGGGAACCCCATGGGGCTGAACGCCGTCGAGGTCAGGACGGACGAGGTGAGCGACGACAGCGCCGACGTCATGAGCACCCCGGGGGACACCGAGGAGCCGGTGGCGACGGCGCCGACGTGCGGCGGCAGGAGTCCGAACCCGGAGAAGAGCCCCGGGGGCGGGCCGAGCGACGGCACGGGGATGGCGGCGTGGCCCGGCGGGCTTGAGCCCAGGCTGGAGCCCAGGCTACCGTGGCTGCCGCTCGACTTGGGGGTGAGGTCCAGCGCGCCCAGCGACCCGCTCTCCGACGGACTGGGGCTGGCGGGCGGCTGCGACGACGGCGGCCTCTGCATGTGCTGCGGCTGCGGCGGCGACATGCTCGCCCGGGACTGGCGGTCTTCGGAGCCGGCGGGGCTGGCCCGCGGCCCGGGGCTCGCGCCGCGGCTGGCGGCCGCCGGCGACCGGTCGCCGTTGACCACGACGGACGGCCGCTTGGTGCTGAGGTTGAGCTCCTCGCCGGTGCGCATCTGCGAGGCCATGGTGGTGATGGTGCGGACCTGATTCTCCAGCGCGGCCAGCGAGGTGGAGAAGTTGGGCATCATGCTGCCCAGGCTGGGCGGATGGTGGGTGGTTTGCAGCGGTTGCTGCTGGGGGGTGCCCGACCGGCTGGAGGTGCTGGCAGCGTCCTCCCCGTGTTGGCTGTCCCGGTCGCGCTCACGGTCGCGCTCGCGCTCACGGTCCCTCTCCCGGTCCCGCTCCTTCTCGCGCTCCCTCTCCCGCTCGCGGTCGCGCTCACGGTCGCGCTCGCGGTCCCGCTCCCTGTCGCGCTCGTCCTCGCGGTCCATCTCGCGCTGCTGCTCGCGCTGGAGTTCGCGCTCTCGCTGCTGCTCCCGCATCTCGCGCTTCATGGCGTGCAGCGGGTGCTGCGGGCCCAGCCCGGCCATGGGCGGAAAGCCCGCGGGCAGGAAGGGCAGCGGGTAGCCGGGCAGCGGCGGGAAGTCGCGGATCTCGGCGGCGCGAATCTGGTCAAGTGTGAGGTCGGTGGGCTCGCCCGTGTGCAGCCGGATGTGCTGCTGCAGCACGAGCGCGTTCGTGAACTTCTTGTGGCAGACGGGGCACTGGTGCAGCACGCGCATGGGCGGCTTGATGCGGTGCACGCCCATGTGCGTCTTGAGGTTGCCCTTGGTGGTGAAGGCGCGGCCGCAGATGCGGCAGCGGAAGGGCCGCTCGCCCGTGTGGGTGCGGTAGTGCATCTGCAGCGCAGACTTGCACGAGAGCACGCGGTGGCACACCACGCACTGGTTGGGGTCCGTCAGCTTGTGCTCGATGTTGTCGACCAGCTGCTGCAGCTTGCTCGTCTCGGACGTCTTGGTGATCTCGATGAGTGACTCCCACGAGTTGTCGTTGCTGCCTGGCCGCGGTAACAGACTGTTGTACAGCATGGGGTCCTTGGTGGGGTCGATGTCGATGGGGAGGCCCATGTTGGGCGTGCCGACAGGCGTGCCAACGGGCGTGCCTAGCGGCGTGCGCGGCGTGTGGCTCCCCGATGAGGTACTGCTGGGCGGCGACACGGCGTGCGGGAACAGCCCCCGCGATGGCCAGACGGTGGGCTTGGAGGAAAGGTTTTCGGGCTGATCGTCGGTCATCAGCTCGTCGTCGCTGTACTTGGACTGGCTGTCGAGACTGCAGTCGTCGTAGGGCATGTCCACGTCCATGTCGCCCACCTCGCTGCGGTCCGTCCGCTGCTCGTCGTCCAGCTCGGTCTTGGGGGCCAGCTCGCGCGCCAAGTCACGACTAAGGTCTCGATTGAGGTCTCGAGTGAGTTCTTGATTGAGATCTCGACTAAGGTTACTAAGGTCCCGACTAAGATCCCGACTGAGGTCTCGACTCGGTTCTCGGCTGGGGTCCCGACTGCGGTCTCGACTGCGGTCTCGACTGGGGTCCCGACTGAGGTCTCGACTGGGGTCACGACTGAGGTCGCGACTCAGCTCTCGACTCAGTTCCCGGCTGAGCTCCATGTCTTGCTTGGCGTCCTCGCGGTCGCTGTCCACGTCGTGGTCCTCCTGCTTGACGGACCGCTGCGAGGGGCTGGGAGACCGCTCTCGCGACGGCGACCTGGATCGCGAGCGCGAGGCGTGGCGCTGCTGCTGGAGGTTGAGGGGCGGCGACCCCCTGGAGGCCCTGGAGCGGGGCCGCGGGGAGTGGCCGGGGCTGGCAGGCGAGCGCGGCGAGTGGAAGGGTGACGGCGCGGCGGGCTTGCTGAGGTCGGCGGGCGCGTCCTGGTGCGCGTGGTGCTCGAGCCGGGGGCCGAACAGCGACAGGGGCAGCATGGGCTTGAGGGGCGTGTGCGGAGGCATCAGTCCGTGGCCGTGGCCCGGCCGGTACAGCGCGGGCAGGCCCGGCGGTACGCCCGGGGGCACACCTGGTGGCACGCCCACGCCGCCCAGGTGCCCCGCCGCGGCGGCCGCGGCCGCCAGGAAGGGGTTGTGCGCGGGGTGGCCGGGCGGCGGCCCGTGGGGTGGTCCGTGCGGCGGCCCGGGGTGCCCCGGGTGCACTCCGGGCGGCAGGTTCTCCAGCTGGCCGAGCTGCGCCAGCAGCGGCGGGTGGTACTTGTCGAGGTGCTCCGGCACGGGGTTGGGGTTCATCTTGACGTGAGGGAACTTGGCGCTGTGCCGCTGAAAGTGCACCTTGAGGTTGCCCTTTGTGGTGAAGCGGCTGCCGCAGACGTTGCACTTGTAGGGCCGCTCGCCCGTGTGGGACCGGATGTGGATCTGCAGCGCCGAGTCCGAGCCGAACACCTTGCCGCAGTAGCGGCACCGGTGCTTGTAGAAGGGGTCGGTGCGCTTGCCGTCGTACGGCGACAGGGAGCCCTTCTTGCGGAAGGCCAACTCGTCGGCCAGGTTGTTGGCAAGAAGGCCCTGGCTGGCGTTGTCCAGGACTTCCTGCGCGCGCCGCTGCAGCATCTCGAGCGTGTTGGGCTCGTCGGGGAGTGGCGGGTCCAGGTTGGTAATGATGGAGGAGGCGAAGGAGGCCGACACGGAGCAGGGCGGGAGGCCGCTGTGCTGCGCGTTGTGTGGGTCGTGCTCCGGGTGCTTGATGGGCATGTCTCGTTCGCGTTCCCTCTCTCGTTCTCGCTCCCGCTCCCGTTCTCTCTCCCGCTCCCGCTCCAACTCGCGGGCCATCGGGCTGAGGGCGGGCGGCGCGACGGTGGGCGGCGCGGGCGTGGTGGCCGGGGCGGGCTCGCTGCCGACGGGCGACGGCGACCTCCGAATGGCCTCCTCCTTGAGCTCGGCCTGCTTCTGGAGCGCCTCGATCTGCTGCTGGGCGGCCTGCACCTGCTGCAGCAGAACTGCGGCGCCGGGCACCTGCGCGGCCAGCGCCAGGAGACCCGCTCCGGGCCCGGCCGCGTCCAGCGGCGGCGTGCCGTCTTGGTGGTCAGCCTTGCCGGCGGCCAGGAGCTGCTGGATGAGGTTGAGCTGGAGCACCTGTTGTTGTTGCAGAGTGAAGAGTGTGTTCTGCAGCACGGCCAGCTCCTGTATGGCGGCGCCCTTGTCCCCGGCGGCAGGCGGCCCGGCGAACTGGGCCACGGCCACCTTGGTGTGCTGCAGCGCCTCTAGGGTTACGTGTCCGGGACCCATGCCGGGACCGTCGGCCCCGTCGTTGTCCTCGCCGTCGACGCTATTGTTGTTCTGTGCGTCCTGGCGCTGGCGCTGCCGCTTGTGCTCCTCCTTGTCGTCCTCGTCGTCCTCGTCATCCTCGTCGCCGTCGTCCTCTTCGCGTGGCGGCGCGCGGTCGTCCATCACGTCGTCGTCCTCGTCGTCCTCGGGCGCGTCGGCGCGGACGCAGGCGTGCCGGAGGAAGTCTTGCCGGCTGGGGAAGGCCAGCTGGCAGCGCCGGCAGCTCATGGAGCCCCCCATGGTCCCGGACACGGCGTCGGTGACCTCGCCAGAAGCCTCGCCCTGCTCACCGCCCGGCGAGGAGGCGCGACCGAGGACGGAACCGCTCGCGCAGCCCGCGGCAGAGGCCTCCGTGCCCTCCCCTGAAACACACACGAAGCCAGGCGTCAGCACAACAAGCAAAACAATTGGTGTGCGGAACACACATAAATACACACACTGTACTGCCCTATATTAAAATCACACACACATACACGCACGCGCACCCACACATATTACTCAAATGACTCGTGAGGAACACATGAACTAGAGGTCCTGACAACTTATCTTGACCGAAGGATTTCAGTCCGCGCCAGAAGTGCAGCCCTACCCGAGCCGAGCTGCAGCCCATGTGGCCCGGGCCGGTCTCGGGGGCGGCCTTTTATTGGCCCGGGTAGGGTCGGTGCGATTCCTGAGCGGCCTGTATTTCTTTTGTTCTCCGGGTGCGAGCTCGGAGGCCTCTTCGGTCAAGATAAGTTGTCACGACCTCTATTCACCCTCACACAGCCACTGCACGAAAGCACACGCGTCCAAGCCCCAAGTCCTGCTCGCGTAGGATTTTGGTGGTGCGCGTCCCACAAACAAGAAACATCCTCACGCGCACCATCCAGCGCAACTCTGCGGCGCGCAGCGTTTTGTACAGACCGACGAAAACGGAAACCGCGAGTCGCGAAAGACACTGCCACACGCAGAAACACACACACACACAACTTCACACACACACACACACACACAGAGCAACCCACACGCACGCACACACACACACGGTCGCAACACTCGGTGGTACCCGGGGGCAGTAAAACTCATACTCATATCCCTTCGCGCCCCCACATGCACCCGGCCCCGGGAGGGTTTTAATACACGCGCTATAAAATTTAATGATCGCAGCCTGCGTCTTTGGCATCGCGATTTCAGCCGTTTCAGCCGCGGCGCGTCTGCGCGGAGCTGGCGTGGCGTTCCCCCCGCCTCCGCTTCAGCCGCGGCCGCGACGAGCTTTGGCCGCGATGCTGGAAACACAGCGGCGGCGGGGCAGCTTCAGCTAATTAATGCATCGGTCGTGGACCTGACGTACTCACGGGGACGCTATCACTCGCAATTAGACTCGCAGGTTATTCTCCACATTTTATTGGCTCGGGTCCGCATCCCGGACAACCACCGTGGGATGTGTGCTGGTGCTGCTCCAGCTATCCGCGAGACACACAGACACGCACTGATTTCCATTCCAAGTTTGATCCAGATTGTGACCAGCCTTCACATACACACACGCACGCTAGCCGACACAAACACACACACACACACGCGACCGCGCACACTTTCTAAAGCAGTCACTAGTTACTTGAGTTCCACACTTCCAGAGTCCGGCACATTTTGGTGACCGCTGGCCGGCGGCGGTGGAGGCCGGTCTCATATGTGCACCACTACGTAGGAGTACGTGCAGCAGCCCGTAGTGGCTGAGCTTTAGTCTTTGTGCTAAAATTCTCAAATGTAAAGGTTAAAGGAATATAGTAATAGTAATGTACAGATGGAAGGCCAGGGAAGAACAGGAAAAGGGGGGGGGCACTAGAAAATTTAAAAATGACCAAAACAAGTTTGTTTTTAGATTTTTCGATGACATTTTTAGTTTTCAGTAATTGGAAGTGGAAGTGTGATGACTTTTGACCTCTACAAATGAATGCTGTTAGCAGATTATACTTACAATGTAACAAACAGTAGAACAAACAAATATCATATAACTCTGGGTATGGCAAACCCTTGTCACAATCAGCTAGAGAAATTCTATTCAATACCCTCACTTGCCTCTGCGTGAAGTGAAATTATATAAAATAATATTAATTTGAATCTATTTAAATGTATTCAAACACCTCCCATACTCAAAATATAATTTTTCATTCTTTGATTCACTTTTACCTGATCCCTCTGAGGCGTTTTGAAGATAACGAGTCATTGTAGTTTATTAATTGAAAGTTCCGTAATATATCTTATCATAGAATGTAATTTAAATTCTCTCACCATTTTATTTCAGTATCATTAGAAATAATATGGCTCTAGAAAAATCTAGTCAACGTAAGAGAATCATATATCTTGTTCTGCTTTTGAACGGCTTATCCTACACTAAGTTGCAACTGTGGCTCTAATATTGTTCGGTCCCTTGCAAGTAAATTGCTGTTAAGAAAATAAGTTGTAAGTTTAAGAAACCTTTAAGATGTCTTTTTGTACGATGAAATGACTTCTAGTCATTCCACGAGTGAATACTATTATTTTGTCTTCCAATGAAGTATCTGGATTTTTAAAAAGTTATCAAATTAATAATGTTATCCCAGATTAAGATTCCTCTTGTAAATTAAAAAGGAAATGTCACATGCTCAGAACCGATCTGAGTCGAAATGGAGAAGTTATTAGCCCTCAAATAACGATGGGCGGATTGCCATGGCCAAATTGGTCCAAATTGAACGTTCGAAGGGTGCGTTTTGTTCGTCTCGGCGAGGTAGGACCCTGTACCCCTTTGGGGTTTGGGCGAAAACTGCCGTCAGAATTGACCTCCGACGCACCGTTTGGCCGCCAGAGGCGATTTAACACTTTATTGAACATTTGAACATAACTCTGCCATTTCGATTCCGATCATCTTTGTGCATAAAACATTTTCGTTTTCTTTTGTCAAGATGAACCCGAAACCATAGTTACCTTTGCACATTTCTCCCAAACCACTACCCCCGCCCCCTCCAACTTACGTAAGTAAACACGTAAACCATTCCAAATATCACTTTCGTTCCTTCTCATCGGACACTCGCGAAACTTCGCAGGCTAAGTTCCGCAACTCTAAAACTGAAACTAAAACACCCGGTTTGACTATCTGACATTTTAATAACTGCTGAGAAGGTATCAAAGTCTTCAGGTGAGCGCAGGAGCCACTTGCGCTCCCCCTCCCCTCGAGCGCCGTGCTACCAACCTACCGCCACCAAACTACGAATTCAAATTAAACGATCGTTTATTTCAAACATCTAATATCAAACTTCTAAACTAAACTCGTTACGTCTCGACTTATACTGAAGCTTCGTGCGCAGTTTGAAGTCAATTGAAGTTACCGTCTGAGAGAAACGTGGGCCAGTACAGACAGACAGATCGACAGACAGACAGACAGACAGACACACGACCAAAGAGTTCTCTGCACCCCACATCACAGCAAAGGCTTCGCAAGCTCAGCCAATAATCACTTCCCGCACTCAAACACACAAACACATTCACTATAATCTCCTCACCGGGAGTCTCGATGCAGACGCTATGTTGAACCATGTCGGCCTGGGCGCGACATTTGGGCCGGCGTTGCGCACCCTGGTGCACGCACACTATCCTCTCGCACGCACGCACGCACGGTCGTGTCGTGCTCCGGTCGGTCGGTCGGTCGTAGGCACGCGGGCCGCACGCACACACGCACGGGGAGCTGGCTGGGCCGGCGGTCGGGACGGTACTGAAGCGCGGAGCGGGCTGGAGGCGCTGCGCTGCGCCGCTGCGCCGTCGCGACGCGGGCCAGCCTCGGCCCTCCCCTCCCCTCGCGGTCTGGAGCCGCGGGACGGTGCTGCGCTCTGGCGGCCGACCCGCATCGCCCCGCCCCGCCTCCGCCCCCTCCTCCGGCGCTCGCGGCCCCTCCCCGCCGCCGCCGGTGGCCACGCGACGCCCACCC